TGAGGGAGGAGGGGCTGGGGGCCTGGACTCCAGTGTTTGGTGGGAGGAGGGGTCTTGGTTTACCCTATGCAGACTATTGGTGGAGAGTAGGATCCAAGGAAGACTCAAGAGGGAGATGAGATGGGGAGGGAAGGATTTGGAGAATGTTGGCCAGAGGGAATTCTGGGAGGAAAACTGGAAAGGCAGGTGAGAGGGGAGTTCCCGGCTGGAGAAAATTTCTCTGTCAGCAGAGTCTGAGAAGTGATTGCCCAGGGAGCTTCTGATAGCTGGAGGCCCAGGGTGTGGCGGGGCCCTGAGTCACAGGGGACTCTCCCTCCTCCTTCCTCTTCCTTCCTCCCCCTCCCTCCTCCCTTCCCTGAATTCTTTGGGTACCTACACAGGTACCCAGCCCCATCGTTGGCTCCCACCTGGGACACTGGGTGCTCACTTGTGGTGGAAGCCCCTCGTGGGCCAGTCCTAACCTTCATGGAACCTCCTCCCTCTGACCTAGTTTGCCACCTGTGAGATGCTCAGAACCACTTTCACATCCATTTCAACCCTCATGAAGTAGGCACTTCTCATGCCTCTTTCCTCTCTCTCTCTGTCTCCCTCTGTCTGTCTTTCACCTAATGTTTGGGGAAAACCGAGACCTGGGAAATAAAGAGGAACAGACCCCTGGACCGTTGGGGGGCAGGAGGCAGGGTGAGGGGCAGAACTAGATGCGTTTGCCTGTCCCGTGTCCCTCTGTGAAGGTCTCCTCAGGGGTCCCCACCCGTACTGTTCAGGTGGTAGAGGTGCCCAGGCACAGAGAGGGACACGGAAGGAAGGAGGCACCCAGGACTCTGTCCACAGGCAGTTTGGCACATGTTTATTCTGTGACTGTTTCAACGTACACAGTGACGATTGCATGCCTATACATTCATTTCTTTTTCATTTATTGTCAGGTAGCCTACGCATTCTTGCACGACACGGAGCAACTCTGCATGACTATTATCCAGAACAGCTTCATTAACATCCTCCTCCCAGATTCATTTATTTGTGTGCATAAAGGATCCACTAATTCAAACCTTGCTCCACTTTTTGGGTTTTACCAGAATTTCTAGACCCAAGGTGATGAGCAAGTGTCTCGCTCTACCTTGCCCAAGTGCCGCCCGAATATATTTGACCAATGGACAGTTCCGGTGGTTGAGGCTCCTGGTCTCGCGGCATCTCTGCCAGCACTGAGGAGGTGGTGGTGGTGGTGTTGTTTGTTTTTTAAATCTCCACTTTTCTTTGTTGGAGGTTTTTTTTGGTGTTTTTGTTTGTTTGTTTTTGTTAGTCCTCACCTGAGGATGTTTTTTTCCATTGCTTTTTCAGAGAGTAGAAGCTCCCGCCCCCCCCCACTGCCTTCCACCCTATCCAATGGGAAGAGACTCATTGTCTCTGTGGACCAATGGGAGAGCAGGAATTAATGCAATCTTGCCAGAGGACATTGGCTGGGTGTCTCTGTGGACCAATGGGAGGGCAGGAATTAATGCAATCTTGCCAGAGGATATGGGCTTGAGCTCCCAGGCACAATGGGACCAATCACGGGAAGGGGGCGGGGCTTCCATCATGAAGGACTCTTTGCCTAGCCACTAAAAGAAGGCGGATTGTCTCCAGGGAACCCACCACCAGGCCCTTGCCCAGAAATGTGGGACAAGATGCTCTCTGGGAACCAGGGGCAGAACCAATGACCTAATTTGCAGGGTCAAGTGCAAAATTAAAAGGAAGACCATCTGGAGCAAAGATATGAATTTCAAAACAGCAACAAGAGTTTACAGCAAGGGCGAGCCTGCCCCCGGCGTGGGGCTCTGTGTCCCCGCACACCTTGCACATTCTTGACTCAGTCCTTCCCTGAGGTCAT